ATAGTCACGAACTTGAGAATTCACTTGTCTTTAAGTGAAAATTATTTTTATACCTACAAAACAAACTCAAGTAGCATTCTTTGGTACCCCAATTCCTTAGGAGTCCTTGTGAATTAGTACACATAGTTAAGGTTCCTCTTAGGAGCATAATTCAATACAATGCACAAATGTAATATTATCTTTGTTCAACATGTTCCATGATAGATTATCAATTAATTTTTCTTTAACATGATGATGCATAGACAATATACACTTATTCATATGATAATAGCAAATTAAAAGGCAAGGTATAACAGTGTATATGCTCACAGCAGCAATATTAGGGTTAAAACCTAATTTTCAGCAATTGCCAAACACTGCATTAAGAAGCTTCAACTCCTCAACTACCAAAGTTTTCCTTAGATTGAAAATGGTATATTAAACTTGTTATACAGCTGGGACAAGTCATATCAATGAGGGTTAAACACGGCAGCTCAAAACACAGCAAAGAGCAGATTGCAGCAGTCCTATTTTCAGCAACTGTGAAGTTCTTGGTTTGATGGGCAATTCTGAAAATACTCTCTTGAAAATAGCTCTCACAGCTTGCATTTACCATAATACACTTGCTTAAGTCATCATAATTCAGTTTACAGCAAGTTAATATCAATTCTCAGTCCAAAGTAGGCTTATAAACTAGATTTCTGCTGCAGCACTGTTGTAAGGGTAATTCTAGTTTTTTACCACTACAAACTTCTATATTTTGGCTCTCTCAAGTGTATATGAACTATATGAACATGCTCAGAAGGAAAACACACCAGGTACAACAATATAATGTAATGTCAACACCCAAAACAGCCTTAAAATCTGGTGTAGACTCAAATATGTGTGGTTTGTAATATCAGATTTTGAACATGTTATTCCTCAGGCCAAACTTCAGCTTAGAGAGCCTCTAATCAACTAACCAAACATGCTCACAAGATTTACATTCATAGTATAGAGTGATAATATCTTTTTAAGTTCAGTTTCAGAAGCTTAGATCAGAAAAACAACTAAGAGTAGAGGTTTGAGGTATGAGATATTATACCAGCTGTAATATGAAGTCCACAGCTCCTTCAGCAGTTGAAAAACACCAAAATATGTATGCTCAGACCTTGTTCAAGTTTCAAAATCAACCATAGTAGGATATCCTCAACCTCCCTTTGCACTAGAAAATCAGCACCAAGGAACCTCCTTGAATGATCAAGCAACCCTACAAGGTAAGCTTAGGAAATTTTTCTTTGGTACCCAAATTCTCTTAGGTCCATAGGTGTTAGGCAATGGCACAAAAGTTCCTTTTGGAACCCAAATTTTCTTGATCTTTTTCTTCTTTTTAAATGGACAAATATAAATTTTATATCCCAACTTTCTACAATAATGGCATGTAAAAGATTTCTTCACAAATGAATCCTTTAATGATTTTCTGTTTTTCAATAAACATGCACTGTTATTGTAAAGATCATATCCTATCTTATTTTTGAAGCAAACACTTCTTTGCTTACTAAGTATAATGCTTAAGTTCTCCATTCCTTTGGTGATCTTAGCTAATTCAACAATTTGGTCCTCATTGGCTAATCTTAAGAACTCATTTTCTGAAATTAAGTCAATTGATTCTTTAAGCAAAACACATTCATTTCCCTTTTTAAAAAGTTCATTTTCAATTTGAACATTTTTACGCTTTTGTAAAATACTATAATTTTCCTTCATAAGAGAGGTGCATTCCAAAAGCATTTTCCGTAGCTCATTATGTATTTCTCTAAAATCATTTTTCAATTCATCACGCTCATCAACTAATTCATTGGAAGAAATATATTCATCACATAATGAGTTTAGGTTAGAGTTTACCTCTTCTTCGAAGGCCATGAGACACAAGACATCATCTTCATGATTTACATCATTTTCTTTGATGTCTCTTGCTTCTTTGCTAGAATCTTGAAGAGCTATGCACTTCTCTTGAATTGCTTCTTTTTCCTTACTATAGGAGGATGAGTAAATTCTATCATGAGCATTCACATGATTAGTAATGTTAGTACAACTATAATGCATCTCATTTATATTTAATTCCTTATTATGGCTTGATCCAACATAATTCAATCAAGTCCTAAATTTATTTAGCCGTTTTACAAAAGATAATTCTATTGAACTCATTTTTACTCAATGCACAATAAAGATAGCATATGGCTAAAGCATTACATTGAATCAATCTAAGGTCATTTGCATCCCATTCATTCTTTTCTTTAGGAACCATTGTCTTTTCTACTTCTTTCACAGGAATGAATGGTCCATTAACTATGACAAGCCAAATATGATAGTCTATGGATTGGAGAAAGTCTATCATTGTATTTTTCCAATAGCTATAATTGATTCCATTAAAAGATGGAGGTCTATCAATACCTTGTCCTTCTAAGTGTGTGACTATGTCATTGTTAGCCATGATCGTACTCTAAGACGGTTAAGTCTTTTCAATTAGAGTTAGGCTCTGATACCAATTGTTGCCCAAGTATTGACTCTAGGGGGGGTGAATAGAGTCTATGGCAAACAATGGCCAATTTTCAGATTTACAAATTCTATTTAAAACCTTCAACAATTATGCAATAATAAATATATAGGCATAAACAATTAATAGCATAAATATAAGGAGATAAGGGAGAAGAGATTTGCAAACATTCACACGACGATTTTAGCGAGGTTTGGAAACTCCTACTCCTCGGCTCAAGACCCCTTTTAAGACTTCCCAATCCACTATGGCACCTCCTTACGGGTGGAGAGCAAACCTTTGTATGAAGCAACTCTTTGGTTCACTTTGCTAAGAAACAACCTCTCTTAGGCTTCCTTTGGGTCACACCAACCCTTACAAATTGAAGTTAGCTTTCTTCTTCTTTCTTGGGCCACACCAGCCCTTACAAATGAAGATCAGATTTGTTGTATACAAATGTATCTCTCAAAGATTGATATGCAAATTAAAGCTCACAATAATCTCTCACAGATTTGATATACAAATATTAGCTCACAACTAGAGTATAAATGAATATATTGAAGCTCAATACTCTATGAATGGTATGGGATGAGAGAGTATGATATAAATGAAGAACAAAAGCTCTTTGGATGTTAGAAGATGTCTCTCAAGTGTAACAACACTTAATCCCGAAGTCCCCTTGCTCTATTTATAGAATTTCAGCATCTAATTCAAAAATAGAGCTGTTGTGCACTCGGTTCTAGGCAAAATAGCTGTTTAGATTCGAGTCTGCGCAGGTTCGGTCGACCGAAATGAAACACCCTTGTGTTTTGGTCGTCCGAAATGACTTAAGGTTGGATATTGTCCTCTCAGTATCTTTGTTTTGGTAGACCGAAGTGAAACCCACACTTGTTTCGGTCGACCGAAATGATTTATGGATTTGAACATCATTCTCAGTACTTTTACTTCGGTAGACCGAAGTGAAACCCTTCTCTGCTTCGATAGACCAAAATGGTTCAGGTTGGCCATGGTTCCTTATTTCGGTAGACCGAAATAGAATGGTTCTGAATTTCAGTAGACCGAAATAGACCTGTTGCCTCATGAATTGTTCTAAGTTAACAGGTGAGACAGTGCATTACAGGACATCTGTGCACTACAAGACATCTGCACAGACCTTATTTCCATTGAAAACATTTAAGTAAATGTCTTTTACTTTATTTACTTTAAGTTTACAATGTAAATAAGGAAGTACCCACCATTTGGATTCAATAAAAAATACTAGGAAATTAAAATCCAACTAAATCAAAATGTAGAAATTCAATTTTAGTACAAATTTGAATTTTCGACAGTTTTGGTAAAAATGAATCCGCATGTAGACCAGTGTAGACTTGGTCAAAAATTCTGATAAAATCAGTTTAGGCTAGTTTAAGTATAAAGAGTTATTATTGGGAAAAATTATTTTGAAATAATCATTATTTTAAAAATTCATTTTTCACACTTAGCCAAAAACACAGTTTTTCATGACACGCATTGTGGGGTCTTAATGTCCGTTACCAACTCATGATAATGAAGGCTTCTCATGTCTTAATTGTTGACCAATATGAATTATATGATTGATGTGCATGGTCTTAGCATTTCTAGCACAAGTGAAGTGTTCTTTCAAAGCTTATGCAAGCTTGAACTAATTCTCTCTTTAGCAATGACTTCATGTGTCAATTGTATATGAATGAAGTGCATAGTCTATTGCTAATGGATATAGGAGCATATGAATGATGATATGATATGCATGGTCCTATAGAGATGAGCTTCAAATGGATTCATAAATACTTTGACATTGAATCCTAAACACTCACCATCCTATCTACCATTTTCTTCAAGCTTTGTCCATGATCCTTAGGCTTTGAGGTAGACTTATTTTCTTCCTTCATTTGAGTTGCTTTCTTGCTCATTGTAGTCCAAGCTATCTTTGGATGGACTTTGCATTTGGTTCTTTGCAACTTCATGTTCCTTTTGTCTCATTTGCTTCCCATAGATGTGATCTTGAGTAATGGAATACTTGGTATGATCTTTCGTGCTTCATTGAGGTTATCCTTTGAATTTGAATAATCTATAACTCTCAATGTAAACATTAGTCCTCAAACACCATTAATGGTGTGTTATCATCAAAATCTCTAAATTGTCCTTGGATGGAATCCTTAAGGTTAACAGTTAAATTTATATTATGTTTACAATATTGCTTCTTATGTGTCAGTTCTGGTGTACCTATAATTTTTAAGTGTGGGAGTGTTATTTATCTTAAACTTTGAAGTTCAAGTAATTTAGTCATTTTATATATATTAGTTGGCCTTTTTTACTTGTAAGTGCTTTCTAAAATATTGTTATCTCCACAAGGTATTTTCACAAGACTTAATTTTATTTTTAATCGGGCTTATGAACTTCTCCAAGATTAAAAACTGCTTCTTTGATTTGAAAATTTTTCATCTTACATCTTTGTCAAATCTTGCTTTGATCTAGAGATTTAAGCTGCAATATGTTGAGTGAAGCCATCCCTCCTATTCTAGGAAATTTGACTTATACAGAGAAATTGTAAGTTTTATCCTCTTCATTTGTTTCAGCTTATTCTATTTTCTCCATTTATTGGTGTTCTTAGATTAAAAATATTATGTTGTCAATGGCTGCTTGTATTTTTCCGATTATACAATAATAACAGTATGAACTTCTATTTTACGCACAATGCCAAATTGCTGTTTCCAGTTTTGATGCTTCAATTTGATTGAATTATTTAAAATTTCTCCATCTATTCATCGAATCACTTGGGACACTTAAAATTCATGTTCTACTCAATACATCTACATATATATATGCTATAGTCAGTGTTTTAATTTGGATGTGAAAATGTTGTAGGTATCTGCATGGTAACAAACTTATTGGATCGATTCCCCCAGAGCTTGGAAATATGACAAAGCTCCACTATCTGTATGAATACCTTTTCATTATTTCCTGAACATTTTTTTATAAGTTCAGTTCTCTTTATGTTTCTTTCTCTACTCATGTTGCAAAATGCGTATGTGTTTTTTTTCCCCCTGTGTCCTTGTAGGGAATTGAATGATAACCAACTTACTGGGTATATTCCACCAGAACTTGTGAAGCTCACTGACTTGTTTGACCTGTATATCATGTCTCTCTAAGTTACTCTATTTGAAGCAGTTTCTGCTTTTCTTAAAGCAAGTTAATGACACTAAATGCTTGCAGAAATGTAGCTAACAACAAGCTTGTTGGCCCATACCTGATAATCTCAGCCCTTGTACAAATCTTAATAGCCTGTAAGCATTGAACCTTACGCGCATTGCTTTATTTATTGAACTTTCAATGATTTGAATATTATTATTTAATTACCAATTGATTTTGATGGTAGAAATGTGTATGGGAACGAGTTGAATAGGACTATACCTCCTGTATTTGAAAGGCTCGAGAGTATGACATATTTGTAAGTTCAGCCCTTCTTGTCGTCATCCTCATCTTCTTCTTTTGAAATTTGAGAAGTGTCATGGAGTTTATGTTAGTATTTTATAAGATTTTATTTTCATATCATTTGGTAACTTCTCACATTTCGATTTAGATTTCGTTTGGAAATAAATAGGCAGCAACAGAATCTTAGGTCGGACTTGCTTGATGTTGATGATGACACATATTAGCTCATTCTATTATTTTTATGATCTTATTGTTTCCTTCTTTTATTCTTCTATTTGGGACTTATTTGATGCATAATTGTTATTTGTATTAATTCCAATACTAGTTATTTGTTTCTAATACGTTATATGGAATCTTTCCCTATTTTTATTTTATTTTATTTTATTTTTTACGATTTGATGAGACATTAAAAATTCTTTTATTTCCCTTATTATTGAGACATAGCTACACTAATAAATGCATTGTAATTCCTTTTTTTTTTTTCTTGACTTTGTTGTGAATTGAGTTTATTTGATCAATAAATTTGGTTTATGAATGGATTGATCTTGATTATAAGAACTTAAATTTTCCTTAAATTAGCTTCATTTAAATATATTGTTATAATATTTTTATAAAAAAAAATGTTATTTTTCACAGTATTTATATTTTCTGTCATATGTTTTTCACATATGGCAGCAAATACAATTGCTGCCATGCCTATCGCGACACAAGATGTGACAGCAAATACAAATGCTGCCTATAAATGCAGCCAAGGAGCTATGGTAGCATTTCTTGTACTTCTAACAGCAAATAAAATTGCTGTTACAGACCATAATTGTTGTAGTGTGGAAAAACTCTAGTTTACGGTAATAGAGAATGAAATAGAAAAAATATATATACAGAGAGATACCAACCAGGAGATCTAAGCAAAATCAGCCAATTGGCCTAACCAACCTTTTCGTCCATCATCACCCATCTCTATATCATCTTTCTACCCGAATTTGGACCGTCATAGTGCCAAGGAGAATCCCATCAATTTAGTCATTACTCTATCATCACCGTGTTTCTTCCAAGAAAGAGGGCGGACAATGGCTTGCTAACGTTGCACCAAGATCCTCTCCAGTCCAACAGTAGCCCATTTCCTCCATTTTTGTTAATGAACAATAGTTACTAAAGTAGATAAAAATGTGTATTTGTTTTATACACAATTTTCATATTTATATATAAATGTATACACTGTTCACAAATATTATTTTTTCTTCCCTCCCTTATTTTCAGCAACCCAAACCCCGCCAGTTTCTTCTCTCCCAAAATATTGATTTTGCTTTCTTTCAAAAATTCTGCAATTTCAACAACCCAGATTTTGATTTATTTCAAAAATATTATTTGATGTGAGTCTTTTTGTTAATATTCACAAAAAATATTAATCAGTTCGAATCTCGCCAGTGGCTTAGATTTGACCAAAGGTTTCAGAGAGAGAAAGAGATCATTTTTTACTTATTTTCTTCTTCTTTCAAATCTCGATAATTCTCTTTGATTTGCTTCTAAAACGAATCACACATCTGTTTCTCAATTCATTTGTTTCCATAAATTTCTCAGATCTATTTCTCTATTCATTTGTTTTCATAAGTTTTTTCTTCCCTTTTCGTATACTACGTCATTTTATTCCAAAATAACGTAGCAATATTGGAACAGAGCAACATCTGGACTGGCATAGTTTTTTTGTTTAATTATTTGTGTACTACCTAACATCCTAAGCAATTTATAATTGAAGTCAATATAAGTTGTACGCAACATCCCAACATAATCCTAATAGATTATTTGTACATAACATCCCAACAGTTTGTAATTTAAGTTCGTAGAAGTTGTACGTAACATCCCAACATAATCTTACTTAACATCCCAAGAAATACGTACATAACATCCCAACAGTTTGTAATTTAAGTTAGTATAAGTTGTACGTAACATCCCAACATAATCCTACTTAACATCCCAAACAATATGTATTTTATATGCCAAGCAGTACGTACTTTATTTCATGCTTATGTTATACGTAAAATCCCAACAAAATTCTATTAAAGAGAGTGTGAATTAGTGATGTTTGTGCTCTTTAATTAATTAGATAAGAAAAAACAGACCCAAAATCGAGATTTAGATGAACAAAGCTTAGATCTATGGATGATACTCTGGAGTTTCTGCATAATACTCCAGTGAAATTACATAGATTTTTGGAGTGTGTTTAGGTTTTGAAATGAAGCTTTAAAGTTCAAAAGTTGCTGTGAGTCCTTGGAGAGTCCATTAATGGAAGCTGATGAAGCTTTTAGAGAGGAAAGGAAGAAGACGACGTATTTTGGAAGAAGACGGCGTATTTTAGATACAAAATTTTAATGCGTTTATATATGTGGAATACAATATTTAAAGCTTTTATATATAAAATACAAGGGTGGTGAAAATTTAGTTACCCAATATTTTTAATTGATGTGGTCAATTCTCCTCCACTTATTCCAAAATGGAGCAAATGGCCTACTATTTCACTGGAGGTGATTTTCTACCTGCTAATGTTGTATTAATTATAACATGGTATTACTAACTAATTGATTAAAATTCCATACCTAGTGATAAGGCCCACTAAAGTCAAATACTTTTACGATATTATTGGTTTATGGCACGGATGACGTAATATTACCGGTGCAAAATATTCTTTCTTAAAGAAAGGGCAGTTGTAGAGTACTTAGTATGTCTTATCACTACTGCTTTGTTCGATACGTAGGCAAGAAGAGGTGTGCAGAGAAAATAGGATGAAAGGAACAAACTTCCTTTATTCGGTAGAGATTATATAAGGAAATAAAGGATAATAGGAGGGATGAGTCATCATCCTTCTTCCTTTACAAAGTTTCATCCATTGAAAAATGGGCATAAGAAATGAGAGAAGACATACAATTTTTAAATTATAGTATATACTATCCTTTATAAATTATAATATTATAGATATTACTGGATATAATGGTAAAAATAATTTAAAATCACTACTACTTTGTTTAGTCGGTAGACAAGAAGAGGTGTACAAAGAAAATAGGATGTAAGGAACAAACTTCCTTTATTCAATAGAGATTATAAAATGAATGAAAGGATAATAGGAGGGATGAGTCATCATCTTTCCTCCTTTACAAAGTTTCATCCATCCAAAAATGGCCAAAAGAAAGGAGAGAAGACATGCAAGTTTTAAATTATAGTACTATTATCTATAAATTACAATATTATAGATATCACTGGATATAATGGTAAAAATAACTTAAAACTTTTTCTTTCCTTTCCTGTTAACAAACATAGTAAATTTTGAACTTATTCTCTTCTCTTCCATCCAACCAAACAAAAAGAAGGAAATACACAATCTCTTCCCTAGGGATGTTTCATCCATCTATTATTTTCTCCCTTTCATCCAATTTTTTTTTTGTTTCCTGCCGAATAAAGCATACGTGTTGGTATTTAATTAATTAGTGATACCATGTTATTAATATAACAAGAGCATTAAAGTATTTGTCGAGAGAGATGAGAAAGTCTACAGTACCTAGGGCTTATTTACACGTGGTACCCTAAATCAATAGACAGTCATTAAAACTCTCATTTTGTCTTGGTACACAAAAAATGAGAAATGTTTTAAGAAAAAGCATGCATGACTGGTCATTGGTGGGGGATACCACAAAATAAATACCCCTGGGTATTGTAGACTTTCTCGGCAAACAGAAGGGCAACACACCTTATTACTCTTAGGTTATTAATAATGCTTTAACTCTCTTTTATAGTATCACCGATTAAATATCCGTACCTATATAACCTATATATTCATGCGTTAATTTTTGTTCAACCCATTTTAATTTTCATTTGTATATAAAAATAAATCACCCAATTTTATTTCTTATTAAACGGGCTAACGGGGTCAGTGCATATTTTGCCAATCCTAGTTACAGGATGAAGGCTTTTATTGTGGCACGTGTGGAAGTGTAAATCATTATCATAAGAAAAGAAAAAAGTATAAGGGATCATTAATGTTGATTATAAAATGGGCCAATATGATTTGTAGGCAATTGCTTGCTCAAGTGGGAACTTGCTAGCAGAGTAAGGTCAACTCTCAACCATGGACGGAAACAATATTGCCATTCATGCAAGAATCGAAGAACTGCCTCCTCTGCACCACCGAACTTGAAAGTCACAACCACCTCTTATTTGATAGTCAATTTATTTCCCTAATTTAGAGATTCATACAAGACAAGTTTAGATTCTAAATTGGCCCTTCTAAGTGGAGCGAGTTCATTTTTTGGCCTTCATTCCATTGGCGTGCTAAAAGTTTCAAGAACTCTCTAACTAAATTGGCATTTGATGCAAGTATTTACCACATTTGGTAAAAATGATATTCTAGGATTTCGAAAGGAAAATCCTCCCAGAATGGAATCTTGTGCAAAATACGCTCCTCGGTTAGTGGAAAATCCAATCTATGGCCCTAAAATGATGAATGAAAGCTCTAGTCGCCCTCAAAGATTGGGACCCTGGCCCATGCAATTTGCATACTCCTCCGCGTCCTCCAGATTGAGCAGCTGAGGCTTCATACCTCAGATCCAAGTGTGGTCGATGAATGCACTATAATGTTTGTGTGTTTTTGCCAAACATATATGGTATAACAGTTGCAATGATTTTATGATTCCTATATATGTAGCTTGTTGGTTATTTTTAGGCTAGTTTGTTTTATTTTCTCTCAATGCTTTTTGAGCTTGTTCTTCAGCAAATGCTATAATCCCACTGTAATTAGTCCATATGTTAATACAATTTGCTTGAACTTCCAAAAAAAAAAAAAAAAAGTGGGATTTGCAACTTCCCTTCATTCTTGGTGGAGTCCAATCCTATCCTTAATTTCACTTTAGGATAGGCATTACCGGGTTCAGACCTTGACAAGCCCATAACAGCCTACATGGGGCGCAAATGGCTGTCAGTGTGCTACTAGTGTGCACAATGACATTTTCGTAAATATACCAAAAAATGAAGTCCAGTGTTTGGGCTCGGGAAAGTTTTGGGAGCTTCCTTGAAGTTTAAGAAACCTATAGGTGAATATGAAATTTAGTTTGGAGTTCGGGAAGTATGTATTTTTTCGTTATGATTCCTTAGACATAGTTGATATTTATTCTTACCAGGATCCTAACTTTTACTTCTGCATATATAGGGGGTGTGTGGTCTTAGCCCCCCCAGCACCCATGCCATTTAGGAAGCCTTGTGTCACGGGCTTAGAGTTTTAGCACCATTCTAGCCAAACCCGTGCGGCACTAAGGCACTGCTTCTTCTCGCGTAAGCACTTGGTTAGCCTAACTCCCATGCACACCTTAGCCAACACACTCCCCTCGTGCACTTACTAGTGTTGTAATGGCCATTGCCTTCTCCTCGCTTGGCTTGCACACTTACACACACTTGGGCATAATTTAGTTGGTAAGGAAAGAACACTTCTATTACTTCAAAGAATACTTTGTACAAGACTAGCTACTTATTCTCTACAAGGCTCTCAAGACTTACTCTGGGACTTGATGGCTACAAAATAAGACATATTCCTATTTATAAGCACCCTCATCCCTAATGGATAGCTAAGATGCAATCTAATCGATGGTGGAGATCAATTCTCTAAAATCTTTTCCCCCCTTCTCCATATTTCTTTACATATCTACAAATATCTATAATATTCTACACAATTCTAGATCTTCCATATTACTCTAAATAACTCCGGAAGACTATAGAAACTCCTCTCGCCATGTAGCGTCTTACTCAATGCTTACGTATTGCCTACGTGGTATAACCTCCATCGGTAGGGCGTGACATCCTCCTCTACCCATTTCCGTGACATCCTTGTCACGGTTTCTTCAATTGACCCATACAGGCATCATACAAAGGAAGGGGGTGAAATCTTGGCTTAAAGCTTATAAAAACTAAGTTTGTAGAGAGAGAAGAAGAACTCACAGTATGGAGGAGAAGAAAATGGCCCCAAAAAATCATATTATATGACTATATGTAATGGCTTGGTCAACCTTTGGGTCCCGCTTGACCCACACATTGTCTAAAATGCCCTTTTATGCATGTGTACACTACAAACATACCACAAGTATATAATTCCCACATATAAACACATAATGAATCAAATAACTAATTATGAAATGCACATGGACTCAAAAGAATTACTCGAGCACGAAAAATTCGGGCGTGAGGCCTACGCGGGACCTCCATGATCAAAAATTCTAAAAATGAGAAATTGACCCGAAATGCATTTCTAAGAGTTCTAGACTCAAATAAATGCCTTAACTACGCTCCGGGACCCACACGGCATGCCAATCAATTATTAGCATGCAAAACGATGCACAAAAAATGAAAAATAAAAAATACCAAAAAAATTACAGGACGTCACAAATGCATTGTTGAAAAAGACGATAAACAAATTTTTGTTGCACTTAGAAATGGTAATTTGTATATTATTCTTCTATGTGAATTGCATGTTCAAGATGTTAAATACTTTGTTTCACCTAGTGATAGTAGTTGGTTGTGGCATATATAGAAGGTTAGGATATAGTAGCATGGACTTGATAGATCTCAAGATTGTCTAAAAGGTTTAGTCAAATGCCTCACAAAGACTGAATATGCTAAAGACAAGACTTGTATTGCTTTTCAATTAGGCAAACAAGTCAAGACCTCTTTTAAAATGAAAAAGGACCTTTGTGATCTATCGATCCTACACGTTGTGTTCTAGATTGTTACTATACAGTGTTAATTGAGAACTCCTCAGTTGATCTCACTCGTGTTAATTGATAGAACTTTTAAAATGGTATTAAAGCTTGTGTATTAGCATATACTTCACTTTAACACTAGGTTATACCTAGCTTCAGTCTCACCACTTACAAACCATACTTTCAAGGACTCTTTTAAGTTTTATTATTTTCGAATAATATTTTGAAGGATTTATAAGTTCTTCTTTCCAAAAATCACTATTTTAAAGAACTCTCGTGTTCAAAAGTCACTCTTTTTCAAGAACTCTTATGTTCAATCATGCACTTTGCACAATTACTATCCTTTTAAGGTCATTGCCCACTAAGGCATAAATTGTGAGCATGGCTACACAGTGTGAGGCGGGTCCTGACACAATGCGAGCTTCAAAAGCTCCATGATCTCCAATGAGACGGTTTGTAGTGAACAAATATAAAATATCATATATGAATTACTTTAGGGTCGATTACAATATAAAGGAGTAAAGAATTTTAAATTTTAAATACATGGAAAATCATAGTTAAATTGCACAATACATGGAACTAAGAAACATAATTATACATATGGTAGAAGAAAAGTTTTTCTTATTTTCATGGACCAGTTTAGCCTTGGAACCAACCAAAAGTTGTTTTTAGGCTTTGACCCTTACAGATTCATTTCATTTAAACTAACTCTAGGAATTCCTGGTCTTCGCAGACTCCAAGGTTAGATTCGAGAGGGAATGGATGTTATTCAAGTTGAGTTGCAAGCCACAAATCCTAGTGAAATGACCCTGGACAATATAAAAGAAGCATTCTGAATATCATGCACATGCTGTTACTTCTTCAATCCCAACATTCTTGATTGTTATGTTTTTAGCATTATATATTTATTTTTAGTTGCATCAATTAAATACTAAACCATCTAGTATATATAATAGAATATATTCTAATTCTTCTGTCAAATAAAGCATTATAACTATTTTGGGTAAGTATATTTGTTTGAACATCCCAGATCCTAATTTCTAAGATTTCACTGAAATCACATATCCAAGGAATTCAAAAACTAACTTTTCTCCTTTAATCTTGATTAAATATCCTGTTATATTCTTTTACTCCTCTAATAGTTTTGTGTTTACAAAATGAAAATCCCAATATTGTATTGTACAAATTAACAAACTAGAAATATCTTATTAGAGTTAAACATAATGTAGAATATGTAGTATAAATCTGTAACGACCCTAGCTGATGCCAAGAATTTTACAAAAAATTCGGCATAACCTCCCCTAAAAATGGACCTACCGCAACCTGTTTAAATTCATTTTTTTAATCCATCATGGCTCAAATTCCGAATTCACGACAATAGAAGATGATGATACACAATCAAATGATCTCAATAATACTTCAAACCAGTATTACTCTCCCCATTCATCAATAAGGTTTACATGTTAACAAATTCACATCCAAAATATCATCAAATACCTTAATTACATTACATGACAAAGTTTTTGCAAAATATACATATACACCTTCACACTTTTAGTGCTTTGCAAAAATAATGGGAGATATACAAAAGACACAAAAGTGAGCTTCTAGTATCGCTCAAGCTTGAGGTGGGTTGTCGATCACCGGTTCTTCTCCAAGACCTGAAAAAATGTATAAATAGTAGGGTGAGCTATATGCTCAGTAGGTGACACTTAAGACACAAATCTTGTGTCCTTGTAAATTCAAGCAAAGCATAGGCCAATGGGAGATAGAGATCATACAATGTAGGGGATCAAATACAATATACAATTCAATTCCAATTATAAACAATGCAATGCAATGCAATGAAATGCAATGCATGTCAATGACACTCCCCATTTTCATTCTTAAAACCATCACTTTCAAACGTTAATACAGCTCGCCCTTTGGTAACCCCGCCGCGACACGAGAGGAGGATTGGCTAGTGTCCCTGACCCTTGGTAACCCCGCGGCGACATTATGGGGCCCAGCTAGCTCAACCACGCTAGGGCGACTCCCTAGTCCCCTCTAGGCTATATTAACCTCCGGCCCGTTGGTAACCCCACAGCGACCGGGTTTCGCATAAAACCATTTTCTCAAAAACACTTCCCTGAAATTCCCCATATTTATTTCAAGAACAATTTCTCCCATTTCATGCAAACCCAATGGTATGTGCATGTATATATGTTCTATACATTCAATGTCATGGCATTTAAAATTTTCCATCATAAAATTAAACATTCAACATGTTCAACATCTCCCACGTAATTATTAACACATTAAGATAGAACAAAATACATTTAAACATGTGCATATATATATATATATATGAGCTCAACATTATGAATTGGGAAATTTGGCGCAATTTAAATAAGCATACTCTCATACATTAATTTCAGCATGCTAGCACATAGTAAACATAGGAAATCAACAACTAAATATAATTTGCACATGAACCAACCATATTCAAGATCGTGAAAACCCTCTAGACATCATTAATACCATCATAGATATAATTAACTCTAAATTAAGCATATTTAATACAACATGGAGGTAAAATTCACAATAGAACAAGACTAGAGTGGATTAAGATGCCCCTACCTCAAAAATGAGCAAACCCTAGAAAATGGGTCCTAAATTTCGAAGTTCAAAGGGTGTACCAAATCTAGAATTGTTGGTATGTATGTGTAGAGCTCGACACAAGCTTCGTTTTGCCTCAAACGGCACCTCAATCCGACAAAAGATGAAGGAACAATCAACAATGGAAGCTTAAAGTGAAAAGAAAAGAAAAAAAAGAAAAGAAGGAGAAGCAGAGAGCGTCTGTCGGGAGAGAGAGAGAAAGGCAGAGACCAATTTTGGTCTCACAATTCACTTAAAAAGTGATGTGGGTCCCACTTCTTTTATAATTTCTTTTTCTCATTTTCTTTTTCATTTAAATCACACACCACATAATTATATACAGACATCACATTCTCCCCAACTTTAAAAAAAATTTCGTCCTCGAAATCAAGACATACCTGAGGAAGAAAACAACGCTGGATACTTGGAGCGAACCTCCTGTTCAAGCTCCCAAGTAGCTTCCTCGACTCCGTGGTGTCTCCAAAGGACTTTCACCATTGGTATTGTCTTGTTCCTCAACACCTTCTGTTGTGTGTCAAGAATTTGAACTGGTCCTTCCTCGTAGGAAACATCCTCATCAATGTCCACATCTACCCAACTCAAAATGTGAGATGGATCCGGTTCGTACTTCCGTAACATCGACACATGGAAAACATTGTGGACCTTATCCAACTGTGGTGGCAAACCAAGCCTGTAGGCAACCTCTCCTACTCGGTCCAAAATCTCAAACGGTCCAATAAATCGTGGCGACAACTTGCTACTTTTCCCAAATCTCATCAATCCCTTCCGTGGAGAAACCCGTAGAAAAACGTGGTCTCCCACCTCAAAGGATAACGGTCGTCTCCGCTTATCCGCATAACTCTTCTGTCGGCTCTGAGCTGTAAGTAACCTCTGTCTTATCAACTTAATCTTCTCAGTAGTCTCGAGTACAATGTCGGGTCCTAAGGCGGCTGTCTCGCCTACCTTAGTCCAATAAACAAGAGACCTACAAGGTCTACCATACAACGCCTCAAATGGAGCCATCTGGATGCTCATCTGATAACTGTTGTTGTAGGCAAACTCAATAAATGGAAAGTGATCCTCCCAACTACCTCCCAAATCAAGTACACATGCCCGAAGCATATCCTCCAAAATCTGGATAGTACGCTCTGACTGACCGTCTATCTGTGAATGGAATGCCGTACTAAGATGCAACGCTAAACCAAACGCTGCTTGAAGTCCTTCCCAGAACTTCAAAGTGAACTTAGCATCCCTATCTGACACAATGGTTACAGGAACTCTATGTAACCTTACAATCTCCTTCACATAAAGAACACCAAGCTTCTCTGCATCATCTGTTGCCTTAATAGGCAAAAAGTGAGCCGTCTTGGTCAATCTGTCAATGATAACCCATACGGCCTCATTGCCCCTCCTTGACCTTGGAAAACCTGTCGCAAAATCCATAGTGATATGCTCCCATTTCCATTGCGCTACAGGTAATGGTTGCAACAAACCTACTGGCCTCTGATGCTCGGCCTTCACCTGCTGACAGGTAAGGCATCTAGCCACAAACTGTGCAACATCATTCTTCATCCCGCTCCACCAATATTGACGTCTCAAATTGTGATACATTTTAGTACCACCTGGATGAACTGCAAAGCGGGAAGTGTGAAACTCCCGTAAGACGTCCTCACGACAACATGTGGGAACCACCAACAAACTCCTGAACCGTAGACCCCCATCTGCATGCAAGGCCCAATCTTTCACTGTCTCACCACTAGAGATCAAAGCGTGGATGGCATCTAAGTCCGGGTCCTGTCTCTGTGACTCAATCACTCGTACAATAAGAGTAGGCTGAGCCACAAGACTAAATAAGAATGCAACTCACTGTAACCATCATCATCACAACACTGTAATCCCATCTTTGCCAGATCTTCAAGTATCTTCCACTTCCGAATAGCTAAGCTGGCCAAAGTTCCATGAGATTTTCGGCTTAAGGCATCAGCTACAACATTTGCCTTGCCCGGATGATACTGCAAATCAAAGTTGTAATCTTCCAAGTACCCAACCCATCGTCTCTGTCTGTTGTTCAAGTCCTTTTGGGAAAAAAGGTACTTGAGACTTTTATGATATGAAAATACCTCGAATCTCTCACCATACAAGTAGTGTCTCCAACACTTTAAGGCAAACACAACTGCCGCTAACTCCAGATCATGAGTAGGGTAGTTAAGCTCGTGAGTCTTCAACTGTCGAGACCCATAAGCCACTACTCTACCATCCTGCATCAACACACATCCCAACCCGTCACGTGAAGCATCATAATAGATCACATAACCCAAGCCACACTTAGGTATCACCAACACTGGCGCTGTAGTCAATCTCGTCTTCAACTCCTGAAAAGATGAATCACAGGCCTCATTCCAGACAAACTTAACCCATTTTCGGGTCAAACGGGTCATAGGAGCTGCCAAACGGGAGAAATCCTTCACAAATCTCCGATAGTAACCCACTAAACCAAGGAAACTGCGGATCTCAAACACATTCTTGGGTCGCTCCCAAGTCAAAACTGCTTCAACCTTTGATGGATCAACTGATACTCCACCTTCTGAAACAACATGCCCCAAAAACTTCACCTTCTGTAGCCAAAACTCACATTTCTCGTATTTGGCATACAATCGGTGTTCCCGCAAAATCTGTAAAACAATACTCAAATGGACCTCGTGATCTTCCCGAGTCCGTGAGTACACAAGAATGTCATCCACGAAAACTACCACAAACTGGTCCAAGTAATCGTGAAAGACGCGGTTCATCAAGTCCATGAATGCCGCTGGCGCATTAGTCAAGCCAAAAGGCATAACAAGGAACTCATAGTGTCCATACCGTGTACGGAATGCTGTCTTCGGGATATCCTCATCCCTAACCCGCAACTGATAATAGCCAGACCTCAAGTCAATCTTCGAGAAACAACTGGCTCTCCTCAACTGATCAAATAAATCATCTATCCTTGGCAAAGGATACTTGTTCTTGATGGTGGCATGATTCAACTTCCGATAATCAATGCACAACCTCAACGAACCATCTTTCTTCTTAGCAAACAAGACCGGTGCGCCCCACGGTGACACACTCGGTCGGATGAAACCTTTCATCCTCAAATCATCAAGCTGCCTCTTCAATTCTTCCAATTCAACTGGTGTCATTCGATATGGTGCCATAGAAATCGGCGCGGTACCTGGCATTAAATCAATAGAGAACTCCACTTCTCGGTGTGGAGGCAACTCTGTCAAATCCTCCGAAAACACGTCCAGAAAATCACAAACAACCGTAGGATAATCCTCTTTCCCAACATCATCTTCTTCGGCTATAAGGCTAGCCAAGAAGTAATCACCATGACTTTGTCCACGAACTCCATAAAACAATGAAATGTGGGAATCACTCCGATCTCCCACGAAAAAGAAACAGTCTCTTTCTGGAGTACAAACTGTAATTCTCCCTTTGAAACAATCGATCATGGCATGAAAGAAGGCCAACCAATCCATCCCGAGAATGACATCAAAGCTAGTCATCTCTAGGAGGATAAGGTCAAACACGAAAGTCCGCCCGACTATCACAATGGGACACTCCCGCACAATTCGGCTCAAAGACACTGAAACCCCAACTGGCGTATCAACACATAACGCTCGATCCATGAAACTAACCTCTAACCCCGATGCAAGTGCAAATGGTAATGAAATGAAAGAATGAGATGCACCAGAGTCAAACAAAACACGGACCCAACAACCAAACACTAGAAATATACCTCGAAGAACTGACGGTCCAGAAGATGCATCGGTCTGTGCCAGTGCAAAAACACGTCCCTGTGGTACCTGTGCCTGAGGACTGCCAACCTGAACACTTGACTGCTGCACTGACATAGTAGGAGTATCCCTCCTAACTGACCGTGAACCCTGTGAAGACATAGTAGGCTGTGGTGGTGGTGGTCTGAAACCTGACTGAACTGTAGCCAATTGTGACGGCCTCTGCTGTGACCCTCTGCCATTAATGGTGCCTGCTCTCTGACTCGGACAATCATAAATCAAGTGACCCTGCTGGCCACACCCATAACAAGCCTTCGGAGCTGACGAAACTGAAGACGATCTCATCGGACAATTAGACTTGTAATGTCCGGGCTGCTGACACTGATAACAAACAACTGCACCTCTGTCAGATCCAGCTGGCATAGGAGTGGTAGGAGCAGATCTTGTAGACTGTTGCCCCTGAAACTGAGATGGACTGCCCCTGTTCCTTTTCCAAGAAAATCCCTCTGAGGATGGCCCTGCACCCCTCTTTTGCTTCAATTGCTCTCTTCTTGCATCCTTCTCTCTATTGTCAGCCTCCAACATCAAAGCCCTTTCCACTGCTTTAGAGTAAACCTTAATAAACTGTGCCATGATCAACGGCCTCATTCAATCATTAAGACCCGAGACAAACTTCCGAGTCTTGTTAGCTTCATCTCTCACCACTTCTGGAGCAAAACGGGAGAGTGAGGTGAACTTGTTCTCGTATTCCGCCACTGACATGCTCCTTTGAATAAGATTATGAAACTGGTCTTGTAACTCCCATCTTTTGGAAAGCGGGAAGTACTTCTCATAAAACAGCTCCTTGAACCTGTCCCAACTCATCTCTTCAATCTTGTACTGGTTAGTGATCGACTTCCACCAAACCTTGGCATCCATAGCGAACTTGTAAGTTGCTAGGATGATCTTCAAGTGATCCTCTGTCACATCCATTGAGGTCAACTGAGTTTTGACTTGATCCATGCAGTTGTCGGCTACCATTGGGTCTGCACCGCCCTCAAACATAACCGGCATCAGCTGAGAAAACCCCTTAATGATCTTGAGACGCTTCTGAGCTGGAGTCTCCTCAACTCGAACTGTAGGTTGTGGTACCAACTACGGCTGAGCAACAATAGTTGCTCTCACGGCATTTTGCAACAATCGATTAAACTCCAGTGCCACAGAACCTTCACCCACTTCTACGGGTACGGGTGTTTCAACATTCTCTCTTCTTGGGGGAACAGCTCTTGGGGGAATCAAGTCCCTAAGACGCATGTTCTCATCAACTGGCTCCACCGGATTGGAGCTAGAGCTCTCACCAACATCACCCCTTGTTGGCCTATGGCCAACTTCTCTAGGTTCCTCATGCCGTGACATCGTGCTATAAAACGAGAAAACGATTCAGAAACATGACACTAAAGTCCACTGTAGATGACTCAACAAGAATTAATACCGTACAACACTTAGCATGCAAGACTATGCAAGAAACATTTTAACATAAACAAGTAAGCAAGTAAGCACATAGGTAGTTAAGCATGCTCATTTAAATAAGATACCACGTAGCAAGTAGTCAAGTAAACAATACAAACAACATCCCATGCGACTCTATGTAGGCCTCTACCCATCGTCCTAAAGGTTTTCGAACCTTGCCCCTGATACCAAATTTGGTAACGACCCTAGCTGATGCCAAGAATTTTACAAAAAATTCGGCATAACCTCCCCTAAAAATGAACCTACCGCAACCTGTTTAAATTCATTTTTTTAACCCATCATGGCTCAAATTTTGAATTCACGGCAATAGAAGATGATGATACACAATCAAATGATCTCAATAATACTTCAAACTAGTATTACTCTCCCCATTCATCAATAAGGTTTACATGTTAACAAATTCACATCCAAAATATCATCAAATACCTTAATTACATTACATGACAAAGTTTTTGCAAAATATACATATACACCTTCACACTTTTAGTGCTTTGCAAAAATAATGGGAGATATACAAAAGACACAAAAGTGAGCTTCTAGTATCGCTCAAGCTTGAGGTGGGTTGTCGATAACTGGTTCTTTTCCAAGACTTGAAAAAATGTATAAATAGTAGGGTGAGCTATATGCTCAGTAGGTGACACTTAAGACACAAATCTTGTGTCCTTGTGAATTCAAGCAAAGCATAGGCCAATGGGAGATAGGGATCATACAATGTAGGGGATCAAATACAACATACAATTCAATTCCAATTATAAATAATGCAATGCAATGCAATGAAATGCAATGTATGTTCATGACACTCCCCATTTTCATTCTCAAAACCATCACTTTCAAACGTTAATACAGCCCGCCCTTTGGTAACCCCGCCGCAACACGAGAGGAGGATTGGCTAGTGTCCCTGACCCTTGGTAACCCCGCGGCGTCATTATGGGGCCTAGCTAGCTCAACCACGCTAAGGCGACTCCCTAGTCCCCTCTAGGCTATATTAACCTCCGGCCCGTTGGTAACCCCACAGCGACCGGGTTTCGCATAAAACCATTTTATCAAAAACACTTCCCTGAAATTCCCCATATTTATTTCAAGAACAATTTCTCCCATTTCATGCAAACCCAATGGTATGTGCATGTATATATGTTCCATACATTCAATGTCATGGCATTTAAAATTTTCCATCATAAAATTAAACATTCAACATGTTCAACATCTCCCAAGTTATTATTAACACATTAAGATACAACAAAATACATTTAAGCATGTACATATATATATATATATATATATATATATATATGAGCTCAACATCATGAATTGGGAAATTTAGCGCAATTTAAATAAGCATACTCTCATACATCAATTTCAGCATGCTAGCACATAGTAAACATAGGAAATCAACAACTAAATATAATTTGCACATGAACCAACCATATTCAAGATCGTGAAAACCCTCTAGACATCATTAATACCATCATAGATATAATTAACTCTAAATTAAGCATATTTAATACAACATGGAGGTAAAATTCACAATAGAACAAGACTAAAGTGGATTAAGATGCCCCTACCTCAAAAATGAGCAAATCCTAGAAAATGGGTCCTAAATTTCGAAGTTCAAAGGGTGCACCAAATCTGGAATTGTTGGTATGTATGCGTAGAGCTCGACACAAGCTTCATTTTGCCTCAAACGACACCTCAATCCGACAAAAGATGAAGGAGCAATCAACAATGGAAGCTTAAAGTGAAAAGAAAAGAAAAAAAAGAAAAGAAGGAGAAGCAAAGAGTGTCTGTCGGGAGAGAGAGAGAAAGGCAGAGACCAATTTTGGTCTCACAATTCACTTAAAAAGTGATGTGGGTCCCACTTCTTTTATAATTTCTTTTTCTCATTTTCTTTTTCATTTAAATCACACACCACACAATTATATACAGACATCACAAAATCACAATAATTTTGTATTATGGTAACATAATATATTTAACTACATACCGATGAGTAGGTGCTCTATCCTAACTGCTGATGTGTTCTAATCATGTACGCATTGTCTTTAATTACTACAAAATAAGAAAACTAATAAATAAAGAAAACCTAGAGGGTGGGTGAATACAAAACGTCATTTATCACATAAAAAAACTTTTTACTTATTTATCAAAGAATAGTGAAGAGTAACACTCGGTCTATGTCTATTTGTTGCAAATATCATAACTCCACATATTTTAGAACAATTTCATTGATCTTGATTTTTTTGAACCAAAGAGAGTTAGAGTGAACGAAAAATAATGGTGTAAGTTGATTTAGGAATTTGAATTTTTAAAATTTATTTTTCCTAACAATTATTGTTTTCATTTTAACATATAATAGTTGAATAAAATTTTAAAGTGCTAATTTATTATAAAAAAAAGAAAGAAAGAGCAGGCCTACAATGCAGACTACAAAATGCATAATACATTATTACATATATAAACAACGAAAACATAATAGCAAGTACATGGGGAAAAAAAAACCAACGAAATGCTGGACTCAATATCATGTAGAAGATGATGGCAAGAATATTCTTGTGCCACTGCATCTCTTAAACTTCCTGCGGATCCAATTCACCTTTAGGAGTATAGCCAAGTAAGTCCGATCTTTCATGTCATCAACAAATTGAAAATAAGCATGTCTCCATGTCCTTTTGAAGAAAAGAGTACCACAAACAACCCAAAATCCAATGGCAAATCCAGGACCCATGCCAATATAAAACCATAACATTTCATGCTCATCTTCCTCATTCTCCACTGGTGTCACACCTTGACCTTGAGATTCTTCCTCTCTTAAACAATTTTTGTTGAGTGGGGCTCCACAGAGGTCGGCATTGCCAATGTAGCTAGTTGCATTAAAACTCTGAAGTTGGGTGCCTGTAGGAATTCTTCCAGAGAAGTTGTATGACAAGTCCAAAAAACTGAGAAATGTGAAATTCGACATGATCTGGGAATTTCACCAAAAAGATGATTTCTTGAGAGATCAAGGGATTCTAACATTGTCACGCCTTCAATATTCTCGGAAATCTTTCCCGTAATTTGATTACGAGACAAGTTTAAAAATTGCAATGCATGAAGACTTGAAAACTCATCTTGAATCAACCTGGAAAAATTATTACTCAAGAGATCTATGCTCCTCACGAGGTCAAGGATACTCTTGTATTCTATTCTGATTCCCTCCCTTTTGTTATCACCCAAAGACTTTCTTTGTAATATACATCTGAACTACAGTAATCACCTAATGTAGTCTTTATAACACTCATATTGTTCAAACATTTTGGTAGGTGTCCTAATAGTCTATTATTCCCAAGATCCAGGACTGTAATTTGAGATAGTTGGCATATCTCTGCAGGTATATTGCCAGTGAATTTGTTGGATCTTTACTGGAGAACACGAAGATTTATCATTTCTCCAATCCAGGTCGGAATGAGTCCAGTAAATTCATTTTTACTGAAATCAATGAGCACTAAAAGGGTGCAATTTTGCAATGTCAAAGCTATTTTTCCAAAGAATTTGTTATTATGCAGTTGCAATGACTCGAGTGCACTTAATGAACCTATTGAGTTAGGAATTTTACCTGACAGGTTGTTCCGCCCCAAATTTACACGGACCAAGTATGGGAAATGCATCCAGCAGCAAGAAATTCCTCCGGATAGTAAATTATTTGATAGATCAAGAACCCTCAACTTACTTTCTCGAGTAATCTCTTGGCACAAGACTGGGCAAATGGGTCCAAAGATAGAACTGTTAGCAAGATTCAACATTTCAACATGTGGAGACAAACGTGGTAACTGACTCCCGAAGCGATTAGAACTCATTTCGATAAAACTAGAATTCAGCAAAACGTTCGATATGTCTCCATTTATCTGGTTGTCAGAGAGATTGATATATTCAAAACCCGACACCCACTTCCACAACCATTCTGGAGCTTTGCCTGAAATCCCGGGCTGAGAAATGTCTAATGCATACAAAGATGTTTGTGCTTGTAGCCATGCAGGAAACCCTGGACCCATCTTGCAGGACCTCATCAGAAGCTCATGAAGTTGAAAAGGAGGAACCCAATCGGAGCTCACCTCAAAGAAGAGAGAGTTTGAAGACGTAGACAATATCTTCAATTTTGAGAGTTTGGCAAAATTCACTTCGGAAATAATGCCTGCTAAGGAATTATGATGCACGTTTAATTCCTCAAGATTTGAGAGAAACGCGACACTCTTTGGCAAAGTGCCATTCAGTTGATTCTCAAAAAGTTGTAACATTCTCAAAGACGTTAAGTTTCCAACTGATGCTGGAATGGGACCATACAATGAGTTCCCACTAAGTGAGACATTCAAGATGCTTCAATTGCCCAATCTATTTGGGATTTTCCCTGTTAGATGATTATATTCCAACTCTAAATTGCTCAACAAGCGAAGATTTGAAATGATGCTAGGTATATGACCATATAGGAAATTGTAGGATAGGTCAAGAGAAAGAAGGCTAGTTGTGAGATTAAACAACAGGTCTGGTATCTTGGACCTGAAATTGTTCCCAGAAAGGTGAAGGACTTTTAGAGACGTAAAATTATCATAAGAAAGAGGTGGGATGATTTTCACAAGCTGGCAGCTCGAGAAATATAGTTCTGAAAGGGAAGGAAGCATGCTCACCGCTTGAAGCCAATCGACTGCCTTGTGAAGGTCGACAGATCTCATGTTAAGGGATTCCAAGGAACGAAGACGAGCAATCCAACTAAGGTCATCAACATAAAGATCAAAACTATCACTCAGGTCAAGATGACGAAGGCTCGAGAGATTGCAAAGCTGATGAGAAATCAGCCCTTCAAGTCCGCAACTGGACAGAAGCACGCTCACGGCTCGATGCCAATCAGGTGCGTTGTGAAGGTCGATCCCACTCATGTCAAGATATTCCAAGTCATGAAGATGAGAGAATCAGCTAAGCTTATCAACATGAAGTTGATAATTAAAGCTTAGATCGAGAACATGAAGGCTTGAGAGATTCCCAAGGTGATGAAGAATAGACGGCTCAAAAAAAGCATGCGTGAGGTTGAGGTATCTCAAACTTCTGACAGAACCTAAGAAACTTGGAATACTAGCACCGGTGAAATTGTTCCAGCTCAAGTCCAAGTAACTCAGACGTTGTAACTCGAGCAAAAAAGGAGTAATCTTCCCTCCCAACTGGTGCGTCATGTAAGATTCAAAGTTGTGAGAATAGTCTTCATACGGATTACCGAGGTACAGCTCCACTACTCGACCAGTTTACATTGTTGCAGCGGACTCCCGTCCACCTACAGTAGTTTTCTTGGTCGACTGACCAAGAGGATAGCCGGTTTGAAGGATCAGTAAGACCTCGTTTGAAGCTTAGAAGGGCTCTTTTCTCATCTTCACTGCAAACAACATCATTTGGAATATTAATCCCATCACATAATAATAGCCTCAAGTTGATCAACAAGGCAGTTGAGGATAGTAGCCAAAGCAAGAAAAGAGTCCTCATGATCATATCGATCTATGATCACAAATAGGGCTTGTAGACAACTAAATGGGAAGTTGGGTACTCTCGTTTGTATATGTATGTCAGTAAACATGCTTCGATTTTACACACATATATAGCCAACGTAAAACCACCACATCTCATCAGTTGCATGCATTGACGACCCTACTTTACTCATGAACGAGTCAGGGCCGGCTCGACCCTTAGGTCACTTAGGCCTAAGGCACCGGCCAATAGGAAGGCTCTAAAAGTATTATTTTTTTATTGTATTAGATTTCTTAAAATTTTTATTTCCTATATTAGTTGGGCCCTAAAATTATTATTTCAACTTTTAAACATTTTTATTTCCTTACATTATTAGATAGCCGAGCCAATAAGAAGACCCCTAAAATTATTATTTTCTTCCTTTATTAGGCTTCTTAATTAAGGCCCTAAAATTATTACTTCCTTACTTGTATATTACTATTGTTATATATGCCAGGTTAACAATATATTAGAGATTTCTTATTTTATTATATTATTATACTCCACGTAGCTCTATCAAAATTAACAAATCTATCCTTATCTTTTCCCTCCTTCCACGTTTGTATTGAATATATATTTAACTAATAGTTAAGCTAAAAAAAAATCACTAATAATTGTGGAAACTAATTTATGAATAATTTAAATATAATACAATAGTGAAAAAAAATATTATTCACTTACATTTTATATTGCCCTACTCTCAAACAATTTTATAATTTTTGTCTAAGGTCTCAAATTATATTGAGCCAATATGAACGACTATATAAAAGACTACCTAGTGTAACTTTGTTTTTGCCTTTTTGGGTGGGTGACTATAGAAGTCGGTGTCCGTCCTTTCAGTGTCGTCAAACAGCGGAATGAATTAATGCCGTGATTTTAATTTCATTGACCGGGAATTTACGATAGTAACAGGGACTAATGTCAAAAACAATTGGTACATGTCTACAGAAGTCGGTGTCGCTCCTTTCGGTATGGTAAAGCACCCGACTGAATTAATGCCGTATTTTTTTATTTCATTGACTAGAATTTGTAGTAATAATGGGACCCCGTGGAACTTTATTCAACCACAAAATATCAGTCACCAATTTCACAAACGTTTCAGTAGATGACTATAGATGTCGGTGTTGGTCCTTTCAGTATCATCAAGCACAGGACATTATGCCGAATTTTTTGACTTAATGTCGTTTTTTTAAGTTTATGACTAGAATTTGCAGTAGTAATGGGGACCTGTGAAACTTTAATCAACCACACAAAAGTAGCAATCAGCAAATTCACAGACGACTATCCCAATTCAAAACTATGTTTTGGAAAAAATAAATAAATAAATAAGCTAAACTAAACTAAAAAAAATAGTAAAATATTAATAAAAGGATTGTTGCTCTTTACCCACTAAATTAGTGACTTCTAATTCAGGGTTCTCCAAACTGATTTTTGTTGATTGCTTTTGATGTATTTTGCTCCTATCTACAAAATACTAATCAAATTCTGATGGACAAAAGGGTAAAAAAGAAGAGAGTTTTAATTATAAGAGAAAAGAAAAAGGAACAAAAAATAAAAAATCAATACTTGTATTTGTGTTATGATAAATTATGAAGAATAAGAGAGAAATTTTTTATAATAGTGCCACTATTATTTGAAAAAGGTAAAAGGGTGAAAAGAAAGAAAAAAAATTTAACAAAAATTATTATCATATGCCCTAATGTTTTAAACGGGGCCCAAATATCTTGTATGGTTCCTTTTTAAAAAGTTAAAGTTAATTTTTTAAGGGAAAATGATAAGGGGGCGAAGGGTAACCCCCGAAAAGACGACCGAATCTAACATGGTCAAGCCAAGCCAAGATTCTCTAAAATATAGTGAAGAATAAAAGAGTCATCACGTGGTTAGGTCACCCCCAAAAATAAATTAAAAAAAAAAAAAAAATTTGTTTGAGAAGAATACAAGGAAAGTAATGGAGTCATGGACACTATGAAGATGACCAGAAGAAGGTGGGTATATACAAATATATATATATATATATACACACACACACACAATTACATATATTTGGTAATAGATCAAAAATATTTAAAGTTTATTTTTTTTTACAAATTTCACAATAGATTTAGGTATTACTCAATGATTTGATTTTAAAAATTACATGATCATCTTGTATTTGAATCACGCACAAAAATTTGGAAGTATTGACAACATCACTCTTTCATTCAAGAATTTAACCAGTACAGTGATTTAATTTGATTTAACAAGATAAAGATAAGTTGATTCCTTCAAAAAAGATAAGATAAGTTCTCTATAATTTTGGAGACTTCTGAGTTTTTCGGTATTCCTTTTCACGATATACGTTACCACCTTTTTTTTTTTTTTTTTTTTTTTTTACCTGCACGTGATGGGCTCTTTTGCTCCCTCACTCAAGAGGAGTGAGAATCTGACGTGGCCAAGCCACGTCAAGTTCGGTGATTAATTCGGGAGATACATTTCAGTTTCCCTATCATTGTTCTTTTTTAAGTTGTCATCCTATCTTTTTAAATCTCCTTTATCCTTTATTTTTTATTTTTATTTTTATTTTTTCAAAACTAAATCAAACATGAAAATTACGATACAATTCCTCCGTTTCTCTTCCAATTCCATCATTCCAAAAACTAGGGGTGGCAAACGGTTAGGTTTGGGTCGGGACAAATGTGAACGGGTCAAATGTGGGTTGCAATGGGTCATATATGGGCCGTGAGACCCAGTAACTCGTTTTTCTATTTAAAAATCATTTTTAAACTTGCCTAATTCTGGCAAACATTTTTGGAAATAAATTTCATGAAATTTGAAACAAAAAGCTGAAGCTAGCAAAATTGACCCGTTTACATGGACCTAATTCGTTTACAAAGATTCGATTTGGATCTTAAAATTCTCTCTGTGGAAATTAATTTTTTGAAAATGGAAATTGAAGTTCAAGTTGAAAAATGACCTGTTTAGACTTGACGCATCAACAAAAGTCCAAGTCGTTGCATAAGTAGACCTGTCAATAAAACGGATTCTAATCCGAATCCGATCCGTTTAGTCAGATATAGATTGAATATCAAATCTGATAATCCGGTAATGATCCGAATCCGATAACCCCATAACTTAACAAATTAAATTTGGATTAGGGTTGATCCGATCCGTTAATAATCCGATCAGATTAAATAATGTATTATTATATATATATATTATTATATATATCATATATCATATATGATTTGTATAGATTTAATATAAAAAAAAAAAATTAAATTAATCGCAATGTTATATATACATGACTACCGTGTTTCCACCTATATAGTAATAAATCTTTTGCCTATTGATTCAAGCCATAAGAACAAAACTCAGGCCACTATAAAGTCTGTATTGCATTTGCGTTTCCAGTCAGAAAAACATAGGTGAAGGGCAAGTCATAGATCTACTGCCAAAAGGGAGAAAGGGGAGTCAGGGACTGCCGGAGTAATTTCTTGTTAGTTATTTTCTCTCTTTTTTTCTTCTATTTGTCCTTTTCTTTTCTTACAAGCGTCCACCCTTTCTTCTATTTTGAAATCATAGCATTCCCTGTATAACTCAAGTACTTTCTATGAGTAAGGAATTTTTCTTTGTGGATTCTTTGATTTAACTAGAAAGCCCTAATTTTCCAGTAAAAGTTACCTCTTCATTTTCTTCCTTTTTCACGTTCTTTTTCCCTCTCTCCCTCTTTTTCCTTCTTTGATACAAAACCCATTTGTGTCTCTCTTGGTTATCCTAATTTTGCATCACTTTTCTTGATTGTGTTTTTGTAAACGGATCGGACTTATCGGATCGGACATCTGATAGAGTCGAATTTCGGATATAGATCGATTATGCAAGAATTCGTCGGATTGGATCGGATCGGATCGGTTATTATGCTTATCGGATTCGGATCGACCGTGATCCAGTCCAAATCCGATCCCTTTACTGGTCTATATATAAGGCACAACCCGTTTGCAAACATACCCAACCCGTTTCCAAATATCCAAATTTAATCCTGAAAGTTGCAGTGACTGATTTTTTATTTATTTTTAATATCCATGTCCTTCCATAAATATGCATAGATATGCTCGTTTGATCTTAATTTATATCACTATCAAATCTTTTGGCCTTGCTTAGAATGGATTTATGAAAACTATTCTCAAGAACAATTTTCAGAGAACAATTTTTAGTTTTTTCAAATTTCAAGCCTGCTTGGTTAAGAGAATTTACAAAATAGTTTCTGGAAAACAAAAACTCATAAAACTACTTGGTTGTATGAGTTTTTGAAAATAATTTTCTAAACTAAAAAAATAAATAAAAATATTGTACATCACTCTTTTATTTCTTTAAATGAAGATATTAACTATATATATATATATATATATATATATATATATATATATATATATATATTAAATAAGTGTTTGAGGTGAATTCATTTTAGCAAGTATACTTAATAAAAGTTGCACAAATACAATATATCAAGTTTAATTAAAATTTGACTAAATTTAAATACAATAAAAGAGTTACATTAATTACTTCAAGTGTCATATGCACTTTTAGTTGTACAAATATTAATTTTAGTCATACATAACCAAAACAAAATATTAGAGAATTACATAAATAGGTAATCAAAGCAAAACATTGGAGAATTATAAAAATAACTTCATCTAACATTGTTTTTGAATGATGCCTACATTTGATTTGTCAAATGAGTTCTAAGGGCTCCCATTTGTTCTGCACCATCATCACATAAATTAAGTGCATTCAGTAAACCAACATTACTACTGTTACCATTCCCCCCATCAGTGACATTAGCATCTTCTTCCCCATACTCTATAAAAAAATGATCATCTAATATATTTTGACGAATGATATTGTGAATCGTGCAACAATCAGTTATTATGAGTCGTTGTCTAACCAACTTATAACAAGGCATAAGCTTTAAAATGGGAAAACGAGCCTTTAGTATTCCAAAACAACGTTCAATGACATTACGAAGTGATGAATGCCGATAGTTAAACAATTCCTTTGCACCACGCGGTTGCCGATTGTTACCCCTGTAATCTTATAAATGATATCTTTAACCACGATATGGAGGCAAAAATCCTTTTGTGCATGGGTAACTAGAATCAACTACATAGTATTTCCCTATAAAAAATTATTTAAATTTTATTAGGGTTAGTAGCATGTTATTATTAATATTAAAAAGACAAAAGTAATAGTAATACCATTAACTGGTATCGAGAATCGTGCAACAGCTCTAGTAATTGCATCAATAAAAACTCTCGAGTCATTTGTCGTTTCCTCCCAACCCGCGTAAACGAAAGTAAATAGCTATCAAATGAGCAAGCACACATAACATTTTGTGTCACTATAGACTTTCTTCCTCTATAAGGAGTTTGTTTGCTGGCAGGTGCAAAAGCACTTATATATGTTCCATCAATTGCTCTAATGCAATTCTTAAACCAAGGATAGTATTTAGGATTATGAAGTATATGAGAAGGCGTATCATTGCTTTGTGGTGGACGTATGAGGACTTTCCTATGACTATATATTGCTCTCAATACAAGCTTAAAATGTTTAGAAACTGTTTTGCCAGAATGTTGAAATCGTTCAGCTCCCACTGCATGACGAATATTATGTCCTCTAATGAACAAAAACATTGCCACTGACTCCTCGATTGAAATTGTATGTGTGTCTTCCAACAATTTATGTTCTCTCAATATTCGACATAATTTTAGAAAGACTTCTCTATCCATTCGTAATAAATCAAAACATCGACCGTCATGGTCATTCAACAATTCTGGAACATACTCATGACCTATTAACCCTGAAGTTCTTTTTGGTACCTTGGATTTAAAGGAATCTTCATATTCCTGCATCAAATTCAAATACATACAATCTACAAGGTCATCAAAATCTTCATCTGAATCACTAGACGATGAAGACGATGTATCACTCCAATCTATGTCTATCTTGATTTTTCAAGTACCTAGACAAAACAAGTTGATGTGCTATAATTAAACTAAAAAATTGAAGAACAGTTTTTTGTAACTCCCAAAACAGAAAACTATTTTTTGTAGAACCCTTTTTCAGCAACGAAAGGACTCAAAAGAACACCTTGTTTTTCTTCCTTTTTTACTGGGGATAAGAAGCAATTTTAACGAAGCATGACCTATAATTAAACTTTCACAACAATCTTACACAGATTTTCCTTCATGACTTTCTAGTTCAGTTTCAATAAATTGCATTGTTAAACTTCTTGGAAATGGCTAATGGATATTTAAAGGTACAATATCAACATTGGAAGAAAAGTGTTGTGGCACTTTTAAATTATATTTTACTAGTTTTTTTCCCTTGAATATTTTATAAACCAGTAAACCACCACAAATCAATTTAGTGTCAATTATAACACATTATTCACATAGGTTTGTTAAGCCATGCTAGTTTGTAGCCACACAGGCAACACTCAATCCCTGAGGACTCTCCATCTCCATGGCATAAGTAAAACTGATTAAAGTAAGATGGACCTTTCCATTATCTTTGCCTGAATTGAATCCCAATTAATACAAGTCAATTAACACCATTGTTTTATTGTGCTACATAGTTTCTGTCCACATTGTTACAAGATCAAAATGGGAGTATAGAGAGCACTAATCTATCAGAAAGAAAAAGAACTATGAATAGAAAATAACTTCAGAGTCAAACTGAAAGAAAAATTTAACCTCAAAAGAAGAGAGATATAAAGCCAAATAAGGAACTAACAAAAATAAAATTAGAGCAATACCCAAAAATATTCTTCAGAAAAATCCTAAGAAAATCTAACAAGCACTTAAAATTATCATCAAAAAAATAAAAAGAGACTATACCCAGATCAGATGATAGAAATTAATTTCTAATTTTTTTAAAACTGTGTGGAAAGCATAAAGAACATATTTAAATTCCATGGAATATCTAACTCAAATTGTTCATGCTTTCACATTTGTAAACATACACATTCATATAAATATACATAAACAGGTCACAAATTTAGATGTGATCGTGTGAGCATCAAAAGCTTAAAAAAGGAAACAAAAGTTATACCGGAGGAAGCAAACGATCTCCTCGATCTGCAATCCAAGTTGATGTGATTTGGGAGCTTAATCGACCCAGGGCGTTCGGAAATGAAAGAGCATTGCTGGAAATGAGCACTGGAAAGTCCAGATTTCTCTGCAACTCTGGCGGATTTGAAGGCGACGGCGGCCGATCCTGCAACTGAAGCAGCCATGAGATTCCCAGCAAGGATTGAAGAGAGAGAGAGAAAACGATTGTGAGAGAAATGGAAAAAAATTCTAACAATTGATAAGATAATAGACGATTGTGAGAGAAAAATCGCAGATCTTGTATGGATTAAAGAAATTTGAGGGTTAGAGAGTTCTACCAGAGCAGAGAGACGATTGTGAGGAAAGAAGTGCAGATCTAGCTTGAAAAAATCTGAGAGAGGGCTCTTCAAAGAGGAGGAGAATCTGGAGATAAAAGGTCAAAACCCTTGTACAGCTAATTTAACTTTGTAAACGAGATTAGAAAGAGAGGTTGAAGAAAGAGACGATGCATTGCAGAGAGGTTGAAGAGAGAGAAGATGGATGCTATGCGGCTTTGTGTTATAAACGAGTGAGAGTTTTACGCAGTTTTGTCCGTACTTTTAAGTAGCGTTCAGTTCTCCGTGTTTTCTAATTTTGCATCTCAGTGTTCCCAAAACTCTAAAAATAACAAATTGTTGTTCTCTGAAAACCACAACTCTGTTATCTCAGTTTTCAAAAAACTGTTTTTATAAAATAGATCCAAGCAAACCTGTTTTGCAGTTTTGAAAATTTTGTTATCTCAGTTTTCAAAAAACTGTTTTTATAAAATAGATCCAAGCAAACCTGTTTTGCAGTTTTGAAAATTTTGTTACTATCAAAATAGAAAACAGTTTTCATAAATCCAATCCAAGCAGGGCCTTTATTTTTTTAAAATTAATGAGACCTGACCTCAAAGTTGCGCGGATCTTATGTTGTACAAATTCACATAGATCTAAATTTTAACATATTTATTTTAAAATTTGATAGATATTTTATGTGCTAAAATTTAAAATAACTATACTAAAACAAGTTTTAGTTTTAACACAAGTAGGCTACGACACCAGGTTACTAGCACAGAGGATCCGGACCTGCTTAGAGGGTAAGAGTTCAAAAGCCCAACTTTCTTTGCTGGAAGGAGGTGGTCTTGTGTAACAGGTGGACGCTTGCCCATTTATTAAAAAACTTAAGTTATCGGGTAGTACTGCATACTTACCTATTTATACCAATGTCACTTCCGGTGGCGGCTCGATGTAACTTGGGCTTTAGGTGAAAAATAAAAAGTAATATTTTCATATCATAATATGTAATATATTAAGTATTAAATAATAATTAATTAAAAATTATCCTTCTGGCTTTTTGAGATGCAAAATTACTAATTAAATTCTTATATTCAAGTGTAGTTAAAATATCTTTTTCAATAGACAATATAACTAATCCATTAAATATTTCTTGTGACATAGTTGATCGTAGATATGATTTTATCAACTTTAATTTCGAAAAACTCCTTTATGCTACAGCAACAATTACAGCGCTAGCGACGGTAGTGGCGAAGCACTACTGAGCAATTCACGTACTGTCAATAACATTCTGTAAGCAATGCATGCATTTGGAAAAGAATCTAATCTTTTAATACAATTTAATATTTCAATTGGAGTGTTTATTTCTACATGTAAAATTTCTTTTAAAATTTTTAATTTTGAAAATAAATCTAAATCATCAATATCAGAACATTCGTCATGTTTTAAAAATAGTTCTAAATTAAGATAATATTTTTTCAAACTATCATCATCTAATGATTTTAGCTTTTTGAAATTAAACAAAAAACCAAAAATATCTTCATATATTTTAAATTGTTCAAGCCTATTATGAATCGAAGAAATAGCTTGATCGACTATATATAAAAAATAATCAATCCTAAAAGATTCTTCGGCTTATTGAGTTGGCTTATCAAATACATTCTCATCAAATTATTTTTTTCTATGAATTATACATTTTTCATGAAAAACATGTTCTATTTCCATTTCATTAGCAATTTCTTTAGCTGAAATAATAGCTGATCTAAATCCATTTTCTCAATATTTTGTGTAAAAAGAAATAAGACCTTTTAATTGATCTATGGCAACATCAATATGCATCTCTTGAGATTGTAAATTTTTACTAACTGAATTAACTGCAAATAATATGTTATACCAAATAGTCATACCCAATAAAAATTCAAAATTTTCAAATTCGTATGTTGCTAAACATTTAGCTTCACTTCTTGTCTTAGGATATTCACTTACTTTTTCTAATTGAAGTAAAGCATTTCTTATTTGTGGAGCTTGAAATCTTATTGCTTTAACACTTTCAATTCGACATTCCAACGGGTTTGTGACAATCACTACAAGAAAAATGAATTTTAACCACAGGTTTTCTACCGCAGTTCCGCATAAACCGTGGTAGAAAATGTTTTCTATAACAATTTTTAATCAACCGTGTTAGAAAGTCATCTTTCTACCATGATTCCAAATGACCCGTGGTAGAAACGGATAAAAATGATCTTCTACCACAATTTATCTCGTGGTAGAAATATAATTTTCTACCATGGTGCTAGACTGTGGTAAAAATTGAAAAAAACATTTCAAAGCTCTTTTAGCGGTTGTTATTCCCGTTGATATTTTCACTACTTGCCCTATCCAAAAAAATAAAAAATATATATTCAGTAGACAAAACAACACACCCACACAAAAAAACACGCACATTGCTAGTCGGATCGAAGCCCTAACCTGTGAAAATGTTTTTCCCTATTTCCATCAAACCTCTTTTAGTTGGTCATAGGAGCAAACTGTTACCCAAGAATTGACTCTAAAGAGGGGGGGGGGGGGGGGGAGTGAATAGAGTCAATAGCCAATTTTTGTAATTTATAGAAACACAATTTCTAATCAACAATTTAGCTAATTATACAATAGTCAAGATATTAAAGTAAACAATTTATAGCACAATTGTAAAAGAGATAAGGGAAGAGAGATTGCAAACAATGACTCGGCAATTTTAGCGAGGTTCGGAAACTCATACTCCTCGGCTCAAGACTCCTCTTGAGACTTCCCAATCCACTATGGCTTCTCCTTACGGGTGGAGAGCAAACCTTTACATGAAGCAATACCTTGCTTCTTTTCCTTGCTAAGAGAACAACCTTCTCTTTGTCTTCCTTTGGGTCACACCAACCCTTACAATAGATAGTAACAAGAACAATGAAGTATAAGAAATATCTCTCAAAAATTGATGTACAAACTTTAGCTCTCAACTAGAGTATACATGAATATAAGTGAAGCTCAAACTCTATAAATGATATGAATGAGAGAAGATGATATAAGTGAAGAACAAAAGCTCTAATGAACTCAATAAGATATTTCAAGTGAAGAATAGAACAAAAGCTCTATGAAGATTCGAATTAAAGCAAAAACCCTTTGAATCTTTAGTTAAATCTCTCAAGATTTGTATATGAGTGAATGAGAGAGATGAAGAGAAGATTTGAGAACAAAAACTCTCTTTAATGCAATGTGAAGTCTTTTAAATGATGTCTCTTGATTATTTAGACATTTCCCACTCTATTTATAGAGTTTGCAAGCTCAATATAGCTGTTAGGAGTTGAATGCACAAGGGTCGAGGAGAAAAGAGTCGTTGCAGTTTGAAATCTGTACAGCTGCGACCAAACCGGTTGACATGTGGTATAAACCGGTTGATGTATGCTATAAACCGGTTGATGTATGCTACAAACTGGTTGACATTTTTCTTCATGAACCAGTTGATGTAAGCTTTGAATTAGTCGATGTAAATGAGCTTCATTTTGACATTTGCTACTGCCTAGATACCAGTCGGCATATGCATCAAACCAATCGACGTAAATGAGCTTCAACTTGAAATTTGCTACTGTTTAGATATTGGTCGACATGAGCTTAGTAGGCGTTGACGTAAACAAGTTTCCTCTTGAAGTTTTGCTAATGGACAGAAAAGAACATAATTTCAAATGGACATAACTTAGTCTATTTAACCCCAAATGAGGTGACATTTAAGTCTAAATTCATTGCCTTGAAGTCAGCTTTCTAATGCCACCAGCCTTACTCAAAAATTACAAACACAGAAATAGTTATGGCCATTTTAGTGCAACCTAGTCAGAAATTTCGGAGACCAGAAACATGAATTTTGTGATGGTCATATCTCAGTCAATTCAAATCCAATTCAGGTGAAATTTGAGTCTAAACTCAAGGGCTCGAAGTCAGCTTTCCAAAGCCATTGGCCTTACTTAAAAATTCCAACTAAAAAAATAGTTATAGCATTTTTAGTACAGGCTAATCTGGATATTTTCTGGGCTGAAAATTACTTCTTATGAGATATCCATCTTTCTAGCGCCCAGGACTTTAATGAATGCTTCAATTTAGTTCAAGTCCTGTTTCTAAGAGTCTAGGGACATATAAGGATGATAAATTTCAAGTGCATTATATCCTAGAGTCATTTACCAATTCATGGTAACAAAAGCTTTAAAGATGAAAGATTGAGTTCAATGTCTTAATCTTTACTTTCTAGAGACTAACATAAATCATATAATTTATATGTATGGTTCTATCATTTCTAGCTTAAGTGATGAGTTGTTTCAAAGCTTATGCAAGTTTGAACTAATTTATTCTTAGGCAATGACTTCATATGTCAATTAGATGTGAATGAAGTGCATAGTCTATTGCTATTAGATATAGAAGCATATGAATGATGTAATGATATGCATGGTCCTATAAAGATGAGTTTCAAATGGATTCATAAATACTTTGACATTGAATCCTAAACACTCACCATCCTATCTACTTTTTCTTCATTATTTGTCCATAATCATTTAGGCTTTTAGGTAGACTTGCTTTCTTCCTTTCTTTGAGTTGTTTTCTTACTCATTGTAGTCCAAACTATCTTTGGATGGACTTTGCATTTGGTTCCTTACAACTTCATGTTCCTTTTGTCTCATTTGCTTTCCATAAATGTAATCTTGAGTAATGGAATACTTGGAATTGACTTTATGATCTTTATTGAGGTCATCATTTGAATGTAAATAATCTATAACACTCAATGTAAACATTAGTCCTTAAACACCATTAATGGTTTGTTATCATCAAAACCTCTAAATTGTCATTGGATGAAATCATTAAGATCAACAATCTCCCCCTTTTTGATGATGACAAAACATTAAGAAGACAAGCATGCATCTTTAATATGAGGATCATACCCTATCGCATTTTTTAAGAAGACACTTCTTTGATTACCTAGCATAATACTAAAATTTTCCTTTCCTTTGGTAAACTTTGCTAAAATGTCATTTTGATCATCAATGATTTTCTTTAAAGACTCATTTTTGGAAATAAGATCAATTGATGACGACTCTTTAGAGAGTATGCATTTCATTTCATTTTTCAATGACTCATTTTTAATTTGAATCTTTTATAATTCTTGCACAAGATAATGATTTTCCTTTTTCAAAGAGTCATTTTCCATTTGCACTTTTTCATGTCGTTGAGAGAGAACATAGTTTTCCTTTTTAAAAGAAGCACATTTCATAAGCATTTTTTCTAACACACTTTGTAACTCTTTAAATGTATCATGCAAATCATTATGCTTATCAACTAATTCATTATAGGAAG